CACGTTGGGTTGTTACAGATGGTCGAGGACAGTCCTTAACATTCTGGGTGGCAACATGTTTTCCGACCAAACGGCTGATCACTGTGTAATGATAGCCAAGCTGCCTACCTATCGCCTTGAAGGACATACCAGCGGAATTCATGCCAATAATTTACCATCTCTGCGCCTCTGATATCCGTCTTCTTGCCATTCTTACTTAAAATGATTTTGCATTCAGAAATTCGGGACTTAAATACGGATTTGATGCACGAGAAAATAGTGCATATTGGACGTGAAGAAGGGAGCAAGTTGCACGTATTGAAAAAAATGCGCCTGATTTAAATGTCACACCTGAACGCTCACATCCTTTTAATTATGTTTGAAATTATGAACATTGCTCAACATCATGAAAATTAAACCTTATTTTCAATAAGCAATCCTGAAAAATATTTGGGGGTGCTTAACTTTTTTCCAGGTGTATAGTTCTAAGTATACATTTATGCTGTAAGTAAAAGTATTTATTACAAAAGAATCTATTGAAAGGATTGCTTGAAAACCATGATAACCAACCATATGTTTGTACTTGGTATTTGTATGAAATATTTTATTAATCAAAAATGCAATTAGGTTGCATTATTCTTTTGTATCAGTAAAGTTTGATAATTAAGTTTACTGTTTGTGAGATTGATACAAAATCCACATGAACCTCTGCTAGTCGCAGGGTCATTTACTCTTTATCTCTTTTGCGGTGGGCTTGGTATAAGATACACAAATTCATATACACATTTGCACATATTAAGTATTTATACTATAACTTTTAATGCAGTATGTGTATTTTCACAAAATTTGATAGACTTTTAGTAAACATTAAAAGTTTTTTGTACACAAAAAATCAGTTTTTTAATGAAGTATTTTTGCTAAAGATTTGTTTGTGAATATATTTAATCCTTTTTGTTACTAGTGCGAAGTTATTTTCATGTTCTGATTAAAAAACTATAATTCATCCCCAAATCTCAAATATCATTTGTGTAATCTCTAAAACCTCTTAAATGCATTTCAAATGTTTACTTTCAGTAAAACTTTATATTTTATCTGTTATCTTCTCTACCCTAACTCTATATGGGATCAGCCAATTCGACCAACCTTGTAACCACCAAAAAACAAATCTAAATAAATCTAAATTACCTTTTTTTTCTTTCAAGAATGACTTCCAATTGTAACATGACATTATATTTGTTTATTTTAAGTGGTTTTAAACTCGTAACAGGATACATCTATTTTACTTATATTTTATTGCCCTTTGAACGGATGTCTGACTACTGCTATTTGTGCCATTATAAGTTGTAAGTCACTTAAAGAATGTGGAGGTCACGTTATGCTGTCAAATTACATTGACCATGAGCTATTCCGAGTCCAAGCTGCTCACGTACATGCCTCACGAAACATTTTTATTATCTTATTATTATTATTATTTATTTTAACTAATCTAACCTTAACTAACCTAAAGAGACCCTTAATTTTACAATTAGACTGATATTCTACATGAACCTTTACTTGTTTAATAGTTTAATATTTGTTGATATGAAATCAACAGGAATTTGAAGAAGTAATTCCCTTTTTACTATTAGTCAGACATAGAAATAACAAAATTAAACAGAAAAATAGTGGAGAACTGTATTGATTCTGTATCAGACTCAGTGTGAATATCCACAAGTTGTTTAGGAGATCACTGTTTATTTAACTACTGATACAGAACTAATATGAACCTTCTCTATCTGTCTAGTAATTCTCTGATTAGATAGACACAATGGATACCTTTACTGTTTTCTTAGTAAATCACCATTTACAATCAGTCACACATAGGCTCAACAAGTACCTCCACAAGGTACCTGCAGAGTTTTTAAAACGTCTTAAATTGGTTTTTGTATTTATAAGGCCTTGTAAAGTCTTATGTATAGTGCTGAAGGCCTTAAAAAGTCTTAACCCTATCACAGACCAAAACATAATCTTCGAGCTTTCAGTAGACAAACATATTTAATACCAATAATAATATAATATTATTTTATTATTGTATCAAATATGTATGTCTAATGAGAACATGAACATTTCATTTTGGTGTGTGAATCAAAAACATTGACAAAATGCAATTGTTCCTGTAAAAGCCATTGAGATGCCTGGCATCCAGGCATGCACACCCAAGCAAGCTTGCACAGTGGATGTATTGCAAATGGGAATTCTTTTTTCATGTTCAGTGACCTGCATTATTAAGCTTCAACGTCAACTTGAAAGACTGTAGCATTTTTTATAGATCAATGAGGAAGAATGTATGTAATGACAAGTAGAGGAAGGATAGCAAGTTTTGAGTGGTTGAAGCAAGACATTGGCAGTAACTTTGAAGCTCATTACACAGTGCGTGTAAAGTCCTTCAAAATTGGAGTGATGAATGTAAAAGCATTTTGTTCCTGCATATATAGTGAGAAACATAAAGAAATGTGGATTCTCATAGTCACGTGAAATTGAATACCACTACTAGTTATATGTTCAGTACAACAGAGTCTGCAAGTGATCCTGCTAGGAACACAATTTCCACAATAAATCAGCTACCATGACAATCATATACCTATGCCATGCATTCAGTTCATTGGACATACTGAAAGCAGAGGTTTTGTGGAATTTTCATACTGTGTTTTGCCATCACTCATGTAACTCTAATAATAAAATTGGATCACTTTTCTTAGTTATATTTTCAGATAGTAAAGTAGCACTAGCTTTCTCACCTGGGAAAGACAAAATGGCATACTTGACATAGTTTGGGTTAGCACCGTTCATCAGAAAGCAACTAATTTTGCAAGTGGATGATGACAACTATGCTATGATATTTGATGAAAGCTTGAATAGGAAAAAAATAAACAGTTGGACTTACATATATGGTATGGAAGTGGTACACGTGTCCAATCAAGGTCATCACAAAGTCAAACACTATGAGAAAAAGTTTATCCGAGTTGAAAGATCTGGATGTAGTACTGGAAAATAACTTTTGAAGAACTTATGCATTTATTGCAGATTTCAAACATGTATAAAGTTGTTTGGAAAAACAGAACTATTTACACTGCCTACAAAAAATTATATATAGATAGAGGTTGTGACTGAAGAGGGAGGACGTTGAAAAGTTAAGATCTTTAGATTTCTGAAAGTTATTTAATATTATAATTTCTAGTAATTTGGGTTAAATAACACAATAATAACTAGATATGGTAAAATTGCTAAATGAA